AAAGGATATATAGACTTACAGAAAGCGTTTGACCTCTGTCATTGCCAACAAAGGATATATAGACTTACAGAAAGCGTTTGACCTCTGTCATTGCCAACAAAGGATATATAGACTTACAGAAAGCGTTTGACCTCTGTCATTGCCAACAAAGGATATATAGACTTACAGAAAGCGTTTGACCTCTGTCATTGCCAACAAAGGATATATAGACTTACAGAAAGCGTTTGACCTCTGTCATTGCCAACAAAGGATATATAGACTTACAGAAAGCGTTTGACCTCTGTCATTGCCAACAAAGGATATATAGACTTACAGAAAGCGTTTGACCTCTGTCATTGCCAACAAAGGATATATAGACTTACAGAAAGCGTTTGACCTCTGTCATTGCCAACAAAGGATATATAGACTTACAGAAAGCGTTTGACCTCTGTCATTGCCAACAAAGGATATATAGACTTACAGAAAGCGTTTGACCTCTGTCATTGCCAACAAAGGATATATTCTCTCATAGTTGAGGTATACCTATGATGAAAATTACAGGCCTCTCTCATCTTTTTAAGTGGGAAAACGTGCACAATTGGTGGCTGACTAAATACTTTTTTGCCCCACTGTAGTTTATCATTTTTTGACATACAATGCTGCCCATTTCATTTAGTATGTGCTAAACTCTCACACAGCACATGGGAACCTGAGTCCCATGAAGCATTTTGATTCAGGACAGGATGAGTTAGACACTGCCATCCCATCTTAAGTGAATTAACCCACCATCCCTAATTGTCTCATTCTGTTCAAAGTTTGGAGGTCATACTGAGGTAAAACAGAGTCTTACTCTCCTAGTCACCACTGATTTATGGAAATACTTTTTTCTAAAAGAGTAGTAAAAGTCCATTGGGATACAAGTCTGATGGACATCAAAGGACATCATGCATCCTCGGGCATTAGGTTGCCTGTAAATGGGTTTTCTTACATTTAACTTTGCAGAACCTTAAGTTTAGAGACTGAGTTGGACAAATATATCTGACCAAGAGCAAAAGGCATTGCTATTTTGATTCATAAAAGCTTCCCTTGTAAGATAAAACAGGTTGTCGATGATACCAATGGAAGATTTTTAAGTTTGGTTTTTAAAGTGTATGACATAGATACCATTAAAATTAATATACATATTAACCTATTTAGGATATCTTGCTATACTTCATGGGTGTGTTCACTATTTAGAAGAAATATTATTATGGAAGGAGACTTAAATGAGATTTTAGAGCCTGAAGTAGATAGAAATACCTCGACCCATGAAAAACATTCATTAGTATGAACAACAATTTCAGCACACATGGAAGAGTTACATTTGATCAATCCTCAGCAATTGTTACACGCCCTACCTCAAGAATATAGTTTGTATTCAGCAGGTCATCAAAACCCTTTTTAGATTAGATTATTCCTTGGTCTCTTCAGGACTATTTTAATATATTCAGACTTTTAAGATTGATGCTATATAAATGCTAGATCATTGTCCAATTAGTTGAAAATTACAGTTTCAACAATATAGTAAACCACCTAAGATCTTGATATTTCACTCTTTCAATTCTGAGACATTGCCACATTTTGAATTAAATGTATGTAATTCCTTGATTTTGGAATAAAAAAATATATAAGGCTTTAATTTCTGGTTGTATGCTTGCTTGCTTGCTTGCTTGCTTGCTTGCTTGCTTGTTTATTTATTTATTTATTTATTTATTTATTTATTTATTAGATCAATTTATGTAGCCACCCATCTCACCACAGGCAACTCTGGGCGGCGTACAACAAAGCTAAAAGCAGTAAAATACATTAAAATATATATAAAACAAAATAAAACAGAGAATAAAAGGAAGTTAAAAAAAAGGGAGCCACCTCACTAATTCCCCCGTCCCC